GGTGCTGCTGAGTTAAATCCCTGGCCCTTCAAAGAAATTGAAAGAGACATAGTGCTCCCAAACTCATTTATGGAAGCCAGTATCACTCTAATTCCAAAACTGGAAAAACGAAACTATAAGCTATTCTCCTTAATGAGCATAGTTGCAAAAATTGTCACCAAGATATTGGCAAATAGAACACAGCACATTATAAAAAGATAATACATTATAATAAAGTATGTTTCATCCCGGAGATGCAAGGATGGTTCAAAATACATGATAATAAACATCAATAATACATTATATAAACAAGGTAAAAAACCCATATGATTACATCAATAGATGCAGAAAAGGCTTTTGACAAAATCCAGCATTCCTTCATAATAAAAACTTTCAAGAAAGCAGATATAGAAGGACCATTATTGAATATGACAAAAGCTATATATCACAAACCAATAGCCAGCATCATACTAACTGGGGAAAAACTAAAAGCATTCTCCCTTGTGATGCTTGATTGTTTCAATTTGGGAAGTTTGGTTAAGAGAAGCTTAGCTAAGTCAGCTCAGCAATTCCATGCCCTAGGGTATAGAAGAGCCTAGGATATGGAGGACCCAACCTATGGCTGCTCCTCACCTGTATGGTATAAAGGGGAAAAGAGGAAGGATGTAGCTACTTCTGTTCCTTTGGAGGAGCTCCACTCTTTGCTTTAGATGTCATCTCCTGGATTCCAGCTCAGACTCTTTGGCTTCTGGCATGGATCCTTCAGGCTTCTGGTGTAGACTCTTCAGCCTTCCATTGCAGACCCATCAACCTCTTGATAAGGACTCAGACAGACACTGCAGTGAGCTCCAGACCTTCGACTAATCCTTCAGTCTCCAGTGTGCAGACAGACCCTCTGGACTCTTCCTCATCTAACTCTTGGGTGGTCATTATAAGCCAATATTGTAAATTCTCATGCTATAACTGTTCCTCTAGTAAGTTCTGACCGATACAGATTTTGGTACTGGAAGTGGGTTTAGAGAAACAGAATTATAATTATAATTTGATGAGACCTAAAGATGCCATGGTCTCTCCTTCTACTCCTGTGGGGAATACTGATAATCCTTGGTGTGAACTGTTTAAAGAAATATGCAAGTTAGATCCATTTGATTGTCCTAATTCACCAGTTGTGAGATGTAAGGAATTTAGTGACTCCAGACATGGAAGTTTTGAATATTTCTGGAAGTGTGGGAAATATAATGATGCTGGCTGGTTGGTCTTAACATGTGTGGAAAAACTAGTATAGGAAAATAAGAAGCTCAAAGGTTCAAGTTCCCAGATCCAGGCACACATAAGAAATTTAAAAGCTTCTATGTGTGTTCTGAAGGAAAATCTCCTCTCTTTTAGCCACAGGTCTGAGACTGCAGAAACCTAAACACAGGACTTCATAATTCAATTAGCTGAACTATAACATAAGCTCAGCCTTGAAGGTATCTGAAGCAAAGGTGAAGGCACTGATCTGAAAAAAATGAGATCTCATAAACTGGGATGGAGATGTTTGGGAGAATCCTGAAGAAACTGGGACTGTTGTTTCTATAGGTTATATTGCCAGAGGAACAGATTTCCCTTGCAGTGACAGAAGCATCCCCATCCCCTCTCCCTGTGGTGTTGGCCTCTTCTAGTATACCTGAGGAAACTAATTCTGTGTTGACCAAACATGATAATGCTGACATTCCTCAGGACCCACCCTCAGCACCCAATTTTGTCTCTAGGCCTATAACTAGGCTCAAATTGCAGAAGGCTCCTAAGGGTGAGGTATGTAGTGTGACCTATGAGGAGCTCTGTTATTCTCCCAAAGAACTTCTTGAGCTTTCTAACTCTTCCCCCCCACCCCATTAAGTTTATTGGTACATTTTAGCTATAAAATACAGTTACATTCATCATTGGGATCTTGTACCATTATATGAGTATCTTGGTTCTTATTGTTTTTCCCTTTCCCCTGCCCTCCCTTCATCCCCTCCACCCTTCCCTATTTGCAAAGTCTTTGTTTCCATTTTTTTCCTTTTCTCATATTTTTTCTTTTCCCTTCTTTCCTTTCCCCTACCCCTCCCACTTCCCCTGCTCCTTTAGACCTTTTCTTCCTGTTACACAATATTAATCATACACTTTTTAAATTATAGTATCAAGATCTAGGAGACATTACCACAGATTTTACAGAATTTAAAAGGATATGGAAAGCATATTACAAAAAACATTTTTTGAAATAAATTGGACAACTTCTCAGAAGAACCTTGGAAGACAAATTAATGAAACTGACTCTGGAGGAAATATAAAATTTGAATAGCACCTATTAAAGAAAGTATATTCTGGGCTGGGGATTTAGCTCAGTAGTTTCACTGCCTGCTGCACAAGTGCAAGGACCCGAGTTCGATCCCCGGTAGAAAAAAAAATATTTCTAGCTTTAAAACCTACCTATATGACAACAACAGGCTCATACACATTTTGACTGATAAATTATATCAAACATTTAAAGCAGAAAAAAAGAAGGAACACTTCTTTCCTCATTGTAGGAAATCAACATTGTGCTAATCCTAAAACTGGATAAAGATAATAGAAGAAAAAAGTATGAACATAGATAGAAATTTGTTTAACAAACTATTACAAGTCAGATCTGGCAGGATGTAGAAAGTGGTTTTATTATAGGGATGGCAGTGTTGGTTCAGCCTTGGAAGATCCACCCCCAAAAGTCATCATTTTAACAGAGGAAAGGAAAAAGCCATATGATCCTGTCACTAGTTGGAGAAAAAGTATTGGACTAAATTCCACAGCTGTTCATGGTAAAAGCTATCAGGAGACTAAAAGTAGAACAGAAACTTCTCAACAGATTAAAGACATGTACTCCATACTTCCAGAAAAAATGTCTTATATGAATGGAGAAGATACAATGCTTTCTCCTTAAAGTGGGGAACAAGGGCAGATATGCCTACTCTTCACCTGTCCAGTAAACTTTGAAACATAGGCATAAACCAAAATAGTCTGGCAATAAAATGACAAAATTAGGGTAGGATTGGCAAGGTAGAAGCAAAATATTTATATGTAGATGAAATGACTATCTACAGAGAAAATACTAAGAAATCTCTAGGAACTCTCAGAAATTATATTTGAATTTAGCAGGATTAGAAAACATAAGATATATATAAGAATTCAGGTCTGTGTATACTTGCTGCAAATGAAGAATTGGATATTGAAATTTAGAAGTTATGTAGGAGTACAAAGGACCTAGAAAAGTAAAAAGAAAAAGAAAAAAAAACAGTGTTGGAAGATGTTTAGTTACCTAATTTTAAGACTTCCTCTAAAGCTACAGTAATCAAGGCAGTGTTGGTATAAGGAAAGAAATATAGATCATTGGAATAAAACAGAGAATCTAAAAATAGAACCACACATATATGGTCCACTGAGTTTTGAAATATTATTTAACATTAATATTTTATAGAACATAAGCTCAATTCAAGAGCAGTGGAAAAGAGTGTTTTCAGCAAATGACACTAGAACACCATCCATATATAAAAAAATTAACCTCAACCCTTTATTTCCATACATGAAAATAACTTGAAAGGATCTGTGAACCAAAATATGAAAGACTAAATCTATAAAGCTTTAAGAAGAAATTATAAGGGAAAGTGTTTATGAATTTAGGATAGGCAAGAACTTTCTAGGATACAAAAACATGATGTATAAAAGAAAAAAATTGATAAATGCGATTTCCATCAATATTTAGAACTTTAAATGACATCGTTAAGAAAATGAAAAGTAGTCCTTAAACAGACCATATTTACAATGCATATAATCTATGACCAGAATAAAGAACTCTTACATCTTATTAATAGACAACCCAATTAAAAAGTAGACACAAGAAGGCTGGGGATTTAGCTCAGTGGTTCTGGTGCCTGCCTCACAAGCCCAAGGTCCCAAGTTCAATCCCTGGTAACAAAAACAAAAGTAGACACAAGAAGATATATAGCCAGTACAGCACAAGGAAAGGTGTGCAACAACAGAATCAGAAAAATACTAATCAGTGCAATAACAAGATTGAATTATACACTCTTTAGGGAGATGAAGTTAAAAGTTTTAAAAGCCTTGTTATGACTTTTTCTTTTTGTTGGATTCTCCCCCTTTGCATTTAATTTGTCAGGCCCAACAGATTCATTCTGGTGGGCTTCCTGGGGTTGTGATCCTCATTGTCTTTTCCTAGGATATTGTCTAAAATTTTTTGAAGTGCTGGTTTACTATTCATGAAGTTCCTAAGGTGCTCTTTATCATATTTCTCCATCAATTTTTTTTAAATGAAAGAAAAATGTTTTATGGGTCAAATATGAAATAGATATACAAAAACTTTACAGCAGATCTCTCAAAGAAGTATAAGGCCACCCAAGAAAAGGGAAGCCCCCCTTCATCAAAACCCCCATGGTGGGAGGATATGGCCGCTGGCAGCCTAGGTTGCAGAGGGACCCATGCTGGAGGCTGCAGGTCACCCGCAGGTCCTCTGAGGGACATGGAATCAGCTGGGGGCTTGTAGGCTGTCTGTAGCTCTTGCTGTTCTCTACACATGTACATTGCTGTTTCATTTAAAAATCCTTCAGAACTTCAGCTTCAGCTGTGAGAAAGCAAGAGAAGATGCCAGGTTCTTGCTATATCATTCTTTAAGTCTTATTGGCTCTTCCAGAGTCTTCACCCTAAATAATATACTGTAGTATTTAAAGGGATCCCCCAAAGGAAAATAACCCTTACTATGTGACGTGACAAGAAACCACAAATATCCAGTCTCAACTACATGCGAGGCTCTGCTGAGCTCTTTGGCATAGTGCACCAATTCCCATAACACTTTGTCACTTAAAAAAGTAGACTTTCCTATACTAAAACCTCTTAAAAACACCTGTTTATGCAAAATAATGTGTTTCTGTATGTGGAGCTCTAGAAAATACAAGTCTTTGTGGAGAAAGGGGACCGAGGGCTGGGACAGGGCATGTGAAGTGGGCCCAAAGTCACATAAGTTCATTCAGCTCAGCCTCCAGTGCTGCTGTCATCTCGTCTGCCTCAGAGCTGCTGCCCTCCTCGTCTTTGTTGCTGGACTCCTTGCTGGACTCACTGGCACCATCCTTGTCATTCAACTTCCTTTTGTGGCCTCTTCCTTTGCCACTCAGTACTCCAGATACCAGTGGCCAGACTTTGATCAGCACAAAGAACAGTCATATATCCACACATGAGCAAGTAATCCAATGCTGCACCCTCCACTGTACCTCCTAATGCTCAGTGCAACTTGTTCCTGGTGCCACGGATGCCTGCAGCACTCCTCTCACTGGATGAAGAAGATCCAAGAGGTTGTTCCCTGTGGGGCCCTGGTGCCTTGGGCTTCCTGGGCCAAGGTGCCCTTTCCTGCTCATCGTCCTGTTCTGGCTTCTTCTTCTCGCTGTCGTTGTCATCACTGCCTTCTCCAAGAATGTCATCAACCTCTTTGTCCATACTCTCTAAGTCTTCCTTACAAAGAGTATACAGTGGCATTGTCTCTGACATACTGGGCTGGCGCTTTCTTCTGGCAGGGCCAGGCTGCTCTCCATCTTGAGCATCAGGGAGCTCTTCACCAAACATCTGCTGCTGATGTGGCAGAACAGCTCTGAAGGAGGTGGGCTCCCTGTGGACAGACAGGGAACTGGGGGGCCCTGGCACACCCATTCTGATGAGCTTTCCAGTGTTGGAACTGTAGATTTGGACTTCAGGGCCAGGCTGGGCCTTGGGATGGATGGGTGTTGGGTGGAGCAATGCTGTTGGAATCACATTCTGCCTGTCAGGAAAAGCTGCTGGGCTGTTCTCCCTGTGTGCCCGGGTGTCGTCGTTAGTGAGGGGGAAGAGTTGTTCCTCCACCTTGTCCCAGCGCTCCAGGCAGCTCCACAGCCAGTCAGGGCTGACCACATGCAAGTGCCTGCACTCCTGTGCCTGGCGCACCTTCTTTGTGCCAGCCCATGCCGCGATCACGTGGGTAGCCCTGTCAGGGGCATCAGGGCTCAGCACCAGTTGGGTCAGGACCTTGGCACCTAGGGCTGTGGTATGGTAGTGCTCCCGAGTCTTCTCTACTGGGAAGTTTGTTGAGTGTAGGCCACTGAATATCACAGTCACATCTGCCAGCACCTTACTCTTGAGTTCAGGAACTATCTTCCGTATATCTGGAGCTTCCTCAAGCTCCTTGTCGAGGTACCTGTCATATTTTGTGTAATAACCAGTGTGCACACGCACAAGGATCTCCCCAAGGTGTATCAGGTGGTCATCATCGTCTGTGTCCTCCTCTTCCTCCTCTACACTCTGGTCCAAGGACTCACCTGCAGTGATGCCTGACTGCTCACTGTTCTGTGACTTTGTCTCAGCCTCCTTCCTGTCCACACAGCCATCGCCCAGGCCACAGAGGCCATCCCGCTCACCCTCCTCCTGCACATCCAGGTCTGGCCCTTTGTTGTGCACAGGGACTCCAGCCCCAGACTCTCCAAGGGGCCCAGCTCCTGCAAGTTTTTCTCTGCTCATATCAGGGGTACCTCCCTGCTGAGGTAGTCTTGCTCCATCTTAGGTGGCTGGAGGCTTTTCCTGGCCTCTCTTCTCCTCACTTTCCCCATCAGAGGTGGAAGAGGCCTTCTGACCTTCTGATGCACTGCTCTCACTGTCACTGGACAAGTCAAAATCCAAATCTGTGCCAGAGGTGCCCTGAGGGGGCTGTGCCCCTGGTGAGGTCTCACCATCCTGTTCACAAGTTGCCTGGGACTCGGGAATATCTGCGAGCTCACAACTGCTGGGGCTGATGGAGGAGGGGGCCTGGGCAGGGGGCCAGGAGTCCCTCTCATCTGCCTTATCAGAAGCCCCTGGCACTACCTCACCACCATTTAGTTCCCAAGTGGGTTTCCCAAGGCCATTGTTTTGCTCCACCCCAGGAAAGTGTCTGCCTTCCTCAGGGTCTTCACAGATGGAACTTGTTCCAAGACATCGGCATCTTTAGAAGAATGATTTACTTTCTTTCTCATCTGAGATTCCCAGGACCCAGGGGGTGAGTTCATATCACCTGTGCCTGGGAAGTACACATATTTCTTCACAGTTATCAGGTTGGGGGCAAACTTCCAGACATCCTCTTGGTCATCAATAACGCAAATCATTTAGTCTCCACAAGGAAAGAGATTTTTAAGGTTTCCTGCTTTAGAAAACGGGTCAATACATTCATCCCGTGATAATATTCAATGAGAAAAAAAGCTTTTCAGCGTCTAAAAGCCTGAGATCATATGTGCATACAGCTGGCTGCCAAAAGTGAAGACATGCAGCTCATACAGTTTGGCCATCTTCTCCAAGAAGTCCTTGCAGTGAGGACCCAGGCGCGTGTGCAGCATCGGCTCACCCTGGCCCAGCTGGAAGTGAAAGATGCCTTTGTTTAACATCTGTGGACAGTGCTGCTCTGTTGTGTGGATTAGAGTCTGGTCCAAATCAACTATGAGGACTAGTTTTCTGTTTCGATGTAGTCGTTGCTGATCTTCCTTTCCAAGTTTTTCAGCTTGCTCAGAGCTCACCATTAACTCTGGCACACTGTGGACCATGGACACAGTCGCTGTGGACAGCGGCATCTGCTGCTTCCCATTTTTACTCTGCAGTTGGGTTAAGTCCTGGCCACATTCAGCACAAAGGCCCTTCATGACAACTGGATGGCCACATCCTTCCCATCTCACCAGAAGGGCTCCGGGGGCCACCACCTGGCCTGGTGGCGCACACAGTTCTCGCACCACGCCGGCGCGTTCCGACCTGAGCCTTCCCTCGGTCCGCGCGGAGCGCCTGCAGCACCCCCGAGGCAGCACGGAGGCGGCGGCCTCGTATACTGCTAGCACCGAGCCGATGCGTACGGCCGCGCCCGCCGCCACCCTCCACTCAAGCAGACGCAGCGGCGCGGTGCCCAGGCAGCGCAACTCAGCCACAGCTGCCATCGGGGTGCCATCGGCGGAAACGAGGGCCGCAGGCGGCGCTTCTATCGCGGCCAGGACTGGCAGATGGGCCACGAGGGGAGCAAGCGCTCAGGGCGCGGCGCCCCTCGCGGGCGGCAGCGACCCGCAGTTCCCGCTCAGGCACCCTCTCCATCAATTTTGAAAGATAGTTTTGCAGGGTACATCAATTTGGGTTGGAGGCTGTTTTCCTTTAGGGCTTGAAATACATCACTGCAAGCTCTTCTTGCCTCGAGGGTTTGCATTGAGAAGTCTGCTGTGATTCTGATGGGCTTTCTTTTGTATATGATTTGTTTTTTTGTTCTTCTGTTGGGTTTCTGGAGTCCTATTATATGGCTGTGTGTAGATTGTTTTGATCAAGGATAGTTGGAGTCCTATAAGCCTCACTTATCTGTATGTCAAGTTCTTTTCCCCTTCTTGGGAAGTTTTCTACCATCACTTCTTTTTTTTTTTTTTTTTTTTTTGTACTGGGGATTGAACTTGGGTCCTTGTGCTTCCGCAGCAGGCAGTGAAACCACTGAGCTAAAGCCCCAGCCCCTGCCATCACTTCTGTGAACATTTTTTTAAAATGTCATCTGCACTCTCTCCTCTTTCTTCATTGACTCCAAAGAGTCTTATGGTATTCTTTGCATTGTCTAGCAGCTGCTGGATTGATTTCTCATGGTCCCTTACAATTTTAAAGCAATTTTTCTTTTCCTGGCCTCTAATAGCAATCTTGTCTTCTATATCTAAAATTCTCTCCTCGCATTGGTTCATTCTGCTGTGTAGACTTTCAATGGAGTTTTTAGTCTCCTGGATATCTGCTTGTATCTGTTTCATGGATTCCATTTGTTTCCTGTGTTGGGATTCCATCATGTTCCTCAGCTCCTCTTTTTTTTTTTATCTATGCCCTCTTTGGATGTATTTATCTTGTCTTGCATTATGAGCAAAATCTCTACTGTTATCTGAGAAATTATTTCTGATTTCATTTTTTCCAGATCCTCTTTTGTTGCCAGTTCAGTGGTTCCAGGTGGTTGAGTATCAGATTGTTCCATCTTGTTTCCCTTTTGGGGTGCTGTAGGTGATCTGGAAGTCTGTTTTTGAGGCTTGTTTATGTGTCTTCTTATTTTCACGGGGGGAGGGGGTGCTGCTGGTGCCTGCATGGCTCACCTCCTCTGCCCTGGGAGTGGTGGAATGGTGGCTGGGGAGCCTCCTCCTGGGCACTGGGATTGGCTCACCTCCTCTGCCCTGGGAGCAGTGGAATGGTGGCTGGGGATCCTCCTTCTGGTCACTGGGATTGGCTCACCTCCTCTGCCCTGGGAGTGGTGGAATGGCAGCTAGGAGGCCTCCTCCTGGGCTCTGGGATTGGCTTACCTCCTCTCAAGTTTTCTTACTCTTATAAGGAGAGGCCTGATGAGGAAGTGTGGGAATGGATTTTATGAGTGTGGGATAATGGTGGCAAAATTGATATGGGCCCATTAATTAGGGATTCTGATTTTAATTTTGCAGCTCATGTAGTAAAGATGTTAATAGTTTATTTGGCTGAGTGGCAGAATTATGAATCAAAAGAAGGCCCACTGTGAATGAGTTAGAGTTCCCTGACATTCCATGGTTTACTGTTGATAAGGGGATTCAGAGGCTTAGGGAAATGGGAATGCTGGAGTGGGTCTGTGCTATTAAACCTAATCCTGCACATTGGGATGATCTAGAAAATGTACCCTTCATAAACACCTTGAGAAACAGATTCATGAGAGGAGCACCAGCATCACTGAATAGCTCTGCCAGTGCTCTTCTCTGTATGCCTGACCTTACAGTGGGGACCAGTTAATTGGGAAATTCAAGGACAATGGACTTGATTGGATCCTGGAGTGGCAGAGGTCAAGTGGCAACATGTAATTGCCAAAGTCAGGGTGCATGTACTTACCATACTGGACAGCAGAAGCAGAACAAAGACCAGAATAATCTGACACACATAGACATATGACCTTGATTGACCAGGCACAATGTTCCCAAAAGTGAAATAGATGGGAAGCCTGCATAATTTTTTACTAGATTTATATAATCAAAAAAATTTAAGAGCAAATGAATGGAAAATTCAAATTGTGGTAACAGGGAATTCTGGCCCCTCAACCAGTCCCCAGATTTAAGCCAGTTTATAGATCCAGAACCCATTGAATGAAGGGGAGGCTAGGTTTCCTGGGGAAAGGATCCTGATGCACCAAAAATTTATACAGTCAATCTTTCTCCCATCCTTCCCCAGAGGGACCTAAGGCCTTTTGTCCAAGTTATTATACATTATGGGAAGGGAAATGATCAGGCATTTCAGGAACTGCTGGACTCTGCTTCTGAACTAAGACTGATTCCAAGAGATCCAAAATGTCATTGTGGCCTCCACTAAAAGTAGGAGCTTATGGAGGTTGTGTGATCAATGTGGTTTTAGCAAACATCAGATCATTTCCCTTGTTTTGGAATGCATAATTGGGATAGATATACTTTGTACTTGTCAGAATCCTCACAGTGGCTCCCTAACTTGTAGTGTGAGGGCTATTATTTTGGGGAAGGCCAAATGCAAGCCATTAGAGTTGCTTTGCCTGATAAAATACTAAACCAAAAGCAATAGCTCTTTCCTAGAGGGATTGCAGAGATTAGTGCCATCATCAATGACTTGAAGGATTCAGGGATGATGCTTCTCACCACATCTCTATTTAATTCTCCCATTTGGCCTGTGCAAAAGATGGATGAGATTGGAGAATGATGGTAGGTTATCATAAACTGAATCTAGTGGTGACTCTGATTGCAGCTGTGGTACAGATGTGGTTTTCTTACTTGAGCAAATTAACACATCTCCTGATACTTGGTATGCTGCTATTGATTTGGCAAATGCCTTCTCCATACCTATCCATAAGGACCATTAGAAACAATTTGCTTTCAGCTAGCAAGGCCAGCAATACACCTTCACTGTCCTACCTCAGGGTTACATTAACTCTCCAGCCCTGTGTCACAACTTAGTTCACAGGGATCTTGATTACCTTTCTCTTCCATAAGGTATCACACTGGTCTGTTACACTGATGATGTTATGTTGATTGGACCAAGTGAACAGGAGGCAACAACCACTCTGGATTTGTTAGTAAAGCATTTGAGAGCCAGAGGATGGGAAAACAATCAAATGAAAATTAGAAGTCCTCTACCTCAGTGAAATTCCTAAGCGCACAGTGCTGTGGGGCATGCAGAGATAGCCCTTCAAAGGTAAAGGTATGGTGTTGCATCTGCCACCCCCCAACCAAAGAGGCACAGTGCCTAGTGGGCCTATTTGGATTTTGAGGTAACATATTCCTCACTTAGGTGTCTTACTCTGGTCCATTTACCATGTGATTTGGAAAGATGCTAGTTTTGAGCGGAGCCCAGAACCAGAATAGGCTTTACAACAGGTTGAAGTTGCTGTGCAGGCTGCTCTGCTACTGGGGGCATATGATCCAGCAGATCCAATGGTACTTGAAGTGTCAATGGCAGGTAGAGATGTGGTTTGGAATCTCTGGCAGGCCTCCCATAGGCAAATCACAGCAGAGGCCATTAGGATTTTGGAGCAAGGCTCTGCCATCATCTTGCAGACAACTACTCTCCCTTTGGAAAATACCTCTTGGCCTGCTACTGGACCTTAGTGGAAACCAAACACTTGAGTATGGGACACCAGGTCACTATATGACCTGATTTGCCTATCATGTCCTGGGTATTATCTGATCCACCAAGTTATAAGGTTGGATGTGCACAGCAGCCGTCTATCATAAAAAGGAAATGGTATGTACATAATCAAGCCAGAGCAGGTCCAGAGGGTATAAATAAATTACATGAGGAATTTTCCCAGATGCCTATGGCTCCTACACCTGATATATTGCCTTCTGTTTCCCAGCATGCACCTATGGCCTCATGGTATGCACCATAGAATCAGCTATCAAAGGAAGAGAAGGCTAAGGCATAGTTTACAGGTGGCTCTGAACATTATGCAGGCACTACCCACAAGTGGACAGCTGTAGCATTATTGCTAGACTATTTCTGGGACAACCCTGAAGGACAGTGGTGGAGGGAAATTTTCACAGTGGGCAGAACTTCAGGTAGTGTACCTGGTAATACACTTTCCCTGGAAGAAGAAATGGCCAGATGTGTGACTGTATACTGACTTATGGGCTGTGGCCAATGGTATGGCCAGATAGGAACTTGGAAAGAACATAACTGGAAAATTGGTGACAAAGATATTTGGGGAAAAAGTATATAGATAGACCTCTTCATATGGTCAAAGGATGTAAATATATTTGTTTCCCATGTGAATGCTCACCAAAACTTGACCTCAACAGGAGAGAACTTTAACAGTCAAGTGGATAAGATGATCCATTCTTTGGTAGTGGCCAACATCCTACTTCAGCCACCCCTGTTTTGCCCAATGGGCGCATGAACAGAGTGGCCATGGTAGCAGAGATGGAGGTTATGCATGGGTTCAGCAACATGGACTCCCACTCACCAAAGCTGATCTAGCTACAGCTGCTGCTGAATACCTAATATGCCAGCAGCAGAGGCCAACATTGAGTCCTTGATATGGCACCATTCCCTGGAGTGATCAACCTGCAACCTGGCTGATAATATTGGTCCACTTCCATCATGGAAGGGACTGCACTTTTTCATCACTGGCATAGACATGTATTCTGGATATAGATTTGCCTTCCCTGCATGGAATGCTTCTGCCAAAACCACCATCCATGAACTCACAGAATGCCTTATTCACCAACATAGAATTCCACATGCTTCTGACCAAGGAGAATATTTTATGGCCAAAGAAGTGAGGCAATGGGCTTGTGCTCATGGAATTCACCGGCTTTTACCATGTTCTGCATCATCTAGAAGAAGCTGGATTGACAGAAAGGTGAAAAGGTCTTTTGAAGACACAGTTACAGTGCCAGCTAGGTGGCAATAGCTTGTAGTTCTGGGGCAAGGTTCTTCACAAGGCTGTATATGCTTTGAATAAGCATTCTTATATGGTACTGTGTTTCCCATG